CAACCTTTGATATTAGGGCATCTTTGGTTGCCTCCATTTTAGCATCTGACAAGCCTGGTGGTGAAGGAAAGAAATATTAGAGATCTACTTGAATGAGCAATAGAAAGAGAGAAAGAATACAGAATTGGACTGTCACTGTGACCACTGAGAAAGTGGTCAGGGTTGGCCTTCTACTAGAATGGCACACAGAATTACAGAGAAACTATGCATACTACTGGAGACACATGTCCCTCTCACAAAAATACCCAAATTATAGTAGAAGCAAGCTGGAGAGAAAAAACAGTAACAATGGACCAGGAGAAAGAAGTACAGTGGATTAAGAATTACTCCGAGCTCTATGAAGGTGAATCAGTGAATCAGTCCTCAAGAAAGACAGAGAAAATGCTGATGGACGTTTTAGATATGTGCTGTGCTAGGAAGACTTGAGAGTCGTGACAGAAGGTTATGGAACTAACAGAGACTGCATAAGACATTCCTCCATGCAAATAAGACAATAACACACAGCTGGCAGAAAATGATTAATAATTTATATCAATAACCCAGTGGTGATTACAGCTTTACTGCAGCTTTATGGTGCAGAGATATTGAGGAATATTCCTGTGGTGTTGTCAAGGTAACCTGCAAGCATGTAGGAGTGCAAATCTGCTGGCGTTTATATCAAAGGAGGGAGAACTAAGGAAACAAGAGACAACATGTGCAGAATCTGTGTTTCCTTACAACTGAAAAAGCTGAGACTTTTAGTTTGAGAGCAAAAAGAGCTGGAGTAAATTTTAGGAATTGTATGCTAGAGCTCACTAATTCCACGGAGGTGGAGTCTCCTCCCATGTTTAAGACCGACAGAGCAGGAACAGGGCACAGTCAGGAGAAATCAGGCTACCTTCAGATATAGTGCTGATATACTATGAAAGGATTGACTGCTGCTTTAATTCCCTAAGTGCTACATACACATCTTGTGGTCATATCTTTAGCATCCATACTCACGCTACCCACTACATATTTTTGTTAATTATTTATTTTTTTAAATTAAGTTTCTGAATTCTGATTTGAATCATGATTCCTTACCAACTAGAGCACCCACAAGTATTTATTTTTTCATTCATGCTACCTTCTTGACCGCTTAATTAAAAGAGGAATGCAAAGAGGTGTTTAACACAAAGGAATTTTACTTTGCAAAAGAGGGACAAGAAAGTGGAAGAAGGGGTAAGAGCACACACTCTGGCACCTACTGAGGCTCCAATGAGCTGTGACAACTTGTTGAGCTGTGACCAGTTCCTAGCACAGATCCATCCTTGAAAACAAGCTGCTTCTGGCACCAATGTGATGTTGGACTGCTTAAAGCCTCCCCCTCTTCTGCCCACCCTCCTCTTTTACAGGCCTGTCACAGACAGCAGCAGAGCCACACTCACAGAAATCCCTGGGCTTCTCTCTCCCTGTCCCCCAAAACGGCAATTTGTCCGATCAGCGACCACCAGAACTGTGACTGATTAAGGACAAATTCTACATGGCCTGGAGTCATGGTTTAACCCCAGCCAGCAACTAAGGAGCACACAGCCGCTTGCTCACTCCCCGCCCCCCCCCCGCCCCTGCAGTGGGACGGGGGAGAAAAATCAAAAAAACCCGAGTGATGCCCAATGCAATTGCTCACCTCACCACCCACTGACTAATGCCCAGCCAATCCCTCAGCCACAGCATCCCCTGGCCAACTCCCCCCAGTTTATATACTGGGCACGGCATCACATGGTATGGAATACCCCTTTGGCTCATTTGTCCTGGCTGTGCCCCCTCCCAACTCCTTGTGCACTCCCAGCCTCCGCTGGCAGGGCAGTATGAGAAGCTGAGAAGTCCTTGATTTAGTGTAAACACTACTTAGCAACAACTAAACCATCAGTGTGTTATCAACATCATTCTCATACTAAATCCAAAACACAGCACTAAACCAGCTACTAGGAAGAAAATTAACTTTATTCCAGCTGAAACCAGGACACCTGGCCCAATATAAGGGGAGAAAAAAAATCTCACAATGATTCATAGTAAAATCTAAAAAAAGTGGTATAATGATGCTAAGCAATCTAAAAAGATAGAAAGACAGGGACTCTTACGGCTCTGTTTTAAAGCCTACATACTGCTAAGTAAAGCTAACTACAAAGTCTTTGCAGTGCTGATTAAATTTAGAGTAAAATGAGATAATTCACTTTTTAATAAATCATACCTTTGTGTGTAACTTTTGAACTTGGTAAAGACACATGATTTCCCAGGCATTTCTGGAATACCTCACTGGAACATTACAGAGATGAAAAAATAATCTTTTCAGTGAGCTCCTATTTACTGTGGAGTATTTTGTTATTTATTAGTCACTGCATTCTCCACAATTCACTGTGTGCAGATGAGGTTCCTCCATTTGACTCAAAGAGGGCTGATGCAGAATTACATTCAGCCACAGCCACGCCGGAGTAAGCTCTTACCAGGCTCAATGGTAACTGTGTCCACTCATGGAGAGCCATCTCCCATGTTCTTAAACCAGAGACATAATGTTTATACTTAAACACAGTGATGTCATTCTAACTTGCTGCTCTGATGGATACCCACCAATTCAAGGGCCTTCTGCTATACCACAGTTTTCACCTACCCACCAAACAAAAGAGTCAGGTAGGTTGAATCCAGGTGATACCATCCTACCACCTCTCAGATCCTCTCAGTCCAGAACACAGATTTTCCCTAAAGTTATGCTGAAATACATACATGATGAAATGTAGGCAGGGCACTATCTTTTCCAGTCTGAAGTTTTAGAATTATGTCTAAAAAATTAAACAAAGAGAAGGTAAACCTGACCAAGCAGCAATTTGTATAGGGTTAATAAGCAAAATGGTTGCACCGGCAGGACCTTCCAAAACAAGCTGCTTTAATTTGGGGACTTCAGAACAATTTACAAACCACTACAAAAATTCAAAATGTATTCTAGAGGCAGGGACAGACAAAAAAACCCAACTGAATGGGTAATTTATTTAGGCCATAAATAAATGAACTGTTAAAACACTCAGAAGTAGAATAGAGGCAGAAAAAAATGCCTGGACCACATAAGGCAATCCACACAAAAGCCCTAAAAATCCAGTAAATCTGTTGCAAATCTGGTCGAGAAACACATAAACTTCATTTTAAAACTGAAATCTCCTTCAAGTCATTCTTAGTGTCTCAGATATTCATCTAAGACTCTGTAAGTCCAAAGAACAAAAACAAATTTGGGGGGCAAAAAAGCAACTCAGGATCCTCAAGAACATCCTAACAAACAATGTTGATTGACTGCTGTCCTATATCAACCCCTTCAGCCACATTCACCCACAAATCCCTACAAGACTCAGTCTCTCAGTCCCTTTCCAAATACAAGACACTTAAGAGAGACAGACCAAGCTTCCAAGCCTACAGAACCCATACTGACACAGCTGAACTGTCCCCCAAAGTAGACTTCAAAACCTTCAGCCACAGCCAAGGTGTAGCTCACACAGAGGCACAGAACCAAGCCATGGCAATGTCACTTAGATGTCCCAAAGACAACACAGCAGCACCCTTTCTCCAGGGGGATGCTATTAGGATGGACTGCTTACGAGTGATACCTTCGGGGTACACTGCAAAGATGACATGCCAATCCCTATACGGCTTTGGTCACAGAGGGCTGCAAAGATGCTGGTTGAATCTCAGTTTCTGACCAAAAGTTTTGACATGTTCCAAAGAAGAGGTCTGCTGGACAAACTCCCCAGCACTGCAAAGTTAGGGGAAACAGCTAACAAAGAACCATGTTTATGGAAATGAAAACCCAGCAGATGTGATTCAATCCCCTCACCCAGCACCTTGGCAAATCTGCCTGAATGCAATGTCAGTCTGTTTGCTTTCACAGAATTAAGGGGACATAAGGGGAAGGGCTGTAGGCAAGCCAGCCTTAGATGTTGATCTGAGAAGGGGCTGGGATCACACAGAGGACAGAAGTGACTGAAACTCAAGTTTTTCTCAAAAAAAAAAAAAAATTCAGAATAGCTTTTGTTCTGCCTAAGAATAAAACTGATTTTAAGAATGTCCTGCACAATGGGAATTCTGAAATATTGTTCTGAAAAACATTTAGTAAAGCATTTTGCTCCAAATTCCTGAATGAAACCCTTGAACGGCTCAGAAAAATGACAATGGCTAGCAATAAATTATACATATATTTGAAAAAATAATGGATAAATGTTCTTTGTTACCTTCACCTGCAGCAGGGAAAATCTACTCATCAGTTAGTATTCTCCATTCAGCTTAATAGCTTGTACTTTTTAAACAAGACTACAAACGGTACCCATGGGCAAAAGAGGTATTCATGGAAGAAATGAACTAAAGAAAGCAATCAAAGATTCTCAGTGTTTGATTTTGCTTTTGCAAAACAACCTAGTTAGAAGTCTCTAAGGAGATATTCTAGAATCAATTGCATTAAATTATGTTCTGAGAGTCCAACAGCAAGTCAGAATACAAACGAAGCACAAAAAAGCCATGTTTCCCCTAGTGAAATGAGCACATATTATTAAAAAGCCAATCTGCAGTTAATTTTGGATTGGATTCTGGTCTTGTAGTGTAAAAGTTGAAGTTTTGAAAATTATTTTGAACAATTCAACATTTAGGAACCAAAACACTCTCACTTGTTTTGATCTTTGGTTTTAAAGTGAAATCAGAATTAAGATCTATTAGGTCTATTTCAAATTTCTTTCAGATTCCAGTCTGTTCCCATGATCTAAATCATCCAGGACTTTAGCCATCAGGGAAGCATAAGCTCCATCATGAGTGTATGTGATCCCTTTCCAATGACTGAAGATTTGCATCACCAGCGAGAAGGGATCTTTTTTTTTAGCACTCTCCACACAGCTGAGGTGGTGCTTACCACCTTTTAACTTGGGTGTACATATCACAGATTGAAAATGAGAGAAGCAGGGTTAAAAGTCATGTAACTAGAAAAAAGGTATCACCTTAGGCAAAAGACATACCTTTGTGGTATATAAAACATGTGCTGTGGAGGGGGTTTGTAGAGAACTCCTTCGTACACAGGCCACAAACCACTTAAAATTCTGAAGAGCGAACTCTTTCCACAGCCGTTGGGCCCAGTGATTAAAAGATGCATCCCCTCCTGCACCTACAATAGCAATGAAAATGCAAAGATGTTACTATGCAGTATATGTGGCACAAGACAGTTTAAGACCCCTAGAGGGAGTTATGTGAGCATTTATATCAAATTATCAACCTATTTCATAATTACTTGCACATATTTATGCAACTATTCTGGAAACAGTGGCATTGGGTATAATATATGGGCTGAAATAATGAAAATAATTTCTATAATGTCTGACTCTTTCTATAAACTACAGTGATTATATCACTGATAAAACTGATAAAACTTTCTATAAACTACAGTGATTATATCACTGATTTTATACACTGATTATGTCAATACACCACAGTCAGAATCTATTATTCTAATGCAGATTAGGTCCAAAGGTGTTAACAGCGTACAGAGCAGTGCTATGCCCATCAGTGATATTAATTTAAGCTATGGGAGCCCGATCAAATGTTTTGGAAAATTTACTTCACATTGCCCTTTCCCACTTAATTACCAGTGTTATTTTGGCTGTGATGCACTTATTTTTCTCATTTGAATATTACCCCGTGTATATATGAGTGTATATTTATGCATAATCACAATGTCATTGTCTATGCTTTACATAAATTTATTGACTGTTATGCTTTCTGTTGTTTTTGTCTCTTGAGCAAAATGAATAAAATACAACTGTCTACTTGACCATAAAGTTGTCATTTTACAAATCTGAAATTGCTACACTGAAGCCATTGCAAGTTTTGCCATAGTTAGGACCCTGTCCTCCTAGTTGCTAATTCCTATACCAAAGAGATGGCAAGAGGAACACTCTGCTTTAGCAGACTTAATTAAGTTAATTAAAAGACCTGCTGGAATTATTCATGTTAGTGTTCCGATAACTTCAACTGTTTTTTAAAATAACAACATCTGCACTGGAACATAAGATCAGGATATATATGGGAGTAATTCAGTAGAGGTCATCCATTAAAACTGTGAGCAGCTACCGAGTGGTATCTGGAATACTTTTTTAAAAACAATACAAGTTTTACTGAGTAAAGACTCCACGGTTGGGCTTGCAAACTATGCTGTCAACTATTAGTTAGTATTGCTCTTTGTAGTGATCAAGCAAAACCACAGACTCAATTTTTTCACTGTTGCTGTGAACTCACACTTTTAAAGGAGCCTATGTGAGTAAAGCATCCCAATTTCATTGAAATTAAGCAAAGATGGATGCAGACTCCCATATACACCTTTGAAAATGTCAGGTTGGTTTTTCACCTGGCAACAGCATCAGAAATCCTCTCTTCTCTTTCTTTGAGGAGGATAAACTACGTATGTCTGCCTCTATTGAGCTACTATGCCTACCTTTCTGGACTTCCCCTTTTATCCATATGCTCCTCCAAGTACTTAACATAAGGTACATGAATTCTGTGCTGTTTGTGTTAATGTGATGGCAACAATCAGAAGATTCTTGCATATCATCTTACTTTGAAGTTTAGTCCGGAAACCACCACATCGCCATTTGGAGTAATAATAGGAACATTTTCACAAATAATTCCATGATCAACATCAATAACTTTCCCTAGAAAGAAAAAAAAAACACCAAAAATAATTGGAGTTTGTGAAACCTTCCATTAGGCAATGATATGTGACAGTCCCTGTGCATGGCTGAGAAGTATAAATTGGTGAGTTTCAAACAACTCTTTTATGTGCTCCAGGTTCCCCTTGTGGAAAATCTGGATAATAAATCTTAGCTAGTCAGAAAGACAGTCAGCAGTAGCCAGGAGTGTGCAGTGAATCCTAAATTTGATCACAAGTATAATGCACAGTAGGTATCATCAATACAAAATGCACTATAAAGACATGTTTATTCACATTCTACCTGTATTTACTGTATTTTGTTTTAAATACGTGGTTGGTATCAACCAGTAAAAAAAGTTCAAGGACAGCCTTAGCCACAGGCAGAGCAGTTTACCTTCTCTTGAGGATTTAATTAGAAAATGGAATCTACTTTCGCTACCAGCTCTGAAACTCAGAGCCCAGTTCAGTCTTCTCCAGCAATGACAGTAAGGGAGAGAATACTTAATGGCTTGCTTCCACCTCTTTTTGAAGCCACAGACACTGTAAACGTGTCTTGTAAGTATTTGCGGAAACCCACATAACACTTCACTCCAGTAGCTACACTTACTATTTGGATTTCTGGCAAATCTAAATATACAATCTCAGTTGGACATTTGGATACACTGTAACACAAGGACTTTGAAATAAATTCTTCTGTAAACAGTAAAAAAATGAAACCAACTCTAACTTCTCAGTTGCCTGTTAATGGGTTTCTCTAACAGAACCCAAACAGATGGGGTCCTAGACAAACATCAGAAATTACCTTTACAGACAAGATTCAAAGGAAAGATTTCTCTTGTATTAGAAGGCTGCTTATTTTATAAGTTAGACTAATGTGAACATAGAAAAATGGAACTAAGGAAAAGTTGAGTTTATTACAAAAGGACAAAATAAGTTTTATTTAAAACAGTTCTGTGGTGTCCAACATGAGATTATGGAAAATGAAAGTGTTTTGCTGTTAAAAAAGAACTACTTGGGTACAGTGGAGAAATTCTAGTTAAAATAAATCTATGATAAAAAATAGTAATCTAAGTAAGTATTAAGTAAACTTAATTCTCATTTCCTAACTTCACAGTGTTTGATTGCAAGTTTAGCATGCTTTTACAGAATAATTATGTGTAACCAGAAGTACAATTTGACAGTATTTGTACAAGATGTACAAAATTCTATTTCAACTTTAAAACTCTGAATTATCAGATACACTATGTATAAGGCAATATTATTATCAGTTAAAAATATTCTAATAGTTTTCATATTTTCACAATGCTCTTACTGACAACAGTAAATGCAAGGCACAAAACAGACATCCCTTTGTCACATAAACTTATATTGGATGATTCAAAAGGAAATAAGTAGTATGTGTTCAAAGAGTCTGTGGGGAAGCTGAATATTAAGATTTTTCTTTTCTAACAATGCAGACACATATACGTATGTGAGCACGTGTACTTTTATCCACATACAAATCCACTCTGCAGGGATTTCTTAAGTATCAAGATCAAAAGAAAGGAGGAAAAACAGTATTACAATGGGACTTGTCATAAAAAGTGTGGAGCCTGTGGCCTAGATTCCTCTGGCCTAAATTCTACTTAAGTCCTGGTGCACAGTGCTTGGTCTTGGCTAGCTGCCTCTGAGAGCCTACAATGACTCAGGAGCAAACACTAGTCACCACAACTTAGAAGGAATTCAGGCTGGATGAAATGTCTGACTGTACGGGAATCAAATCTTAGGAAAAGGCTCCAGAGAAAGAAAAGGAGCGAGGACCTTTGAGAAATCTGTGCTGAAGGGCAGCACTGTTAAAATTGTTGAAAGCAGCTATTTCATAAAGAGCACTTTGGTGCCTTCAACTCTACCGGGGTTTAAGTTTCCAGAAGCCAAAGGGAGGGAATGAGGCTTTTCAGCACCACAGAAGGGAGAAGCAGAAGGGGTCTGTTGGGAAAACTGGGAAAAGCCCATTGCAAAAGCTGTCTTTAAGTACCTCAGAGAGAAGCTGGACACAAGAGGAAGAGAGAGGTGGCACATAATGGAGCACGGTAAGAAATGGATGTACACAGAAAATGCTTTGGGGAGGGTGGAGACAGAAAGATAGTGGCACCAGAAAGATACAGGATAGGGACAGGAGGGATAAGGTATATATTGATCAGATCATTTGGGAGGTGAGGGGAAGGGTAAAGTTGTCAGCACATTTTCAGTTGAAAATTCCCACTAAATTATGAAAAAATGAGCACACGCTGATCTTTAGTCTCTGAAGACAAAGTAGTATTTTCGTCAAAAACTACTGAACCAATCTATCTTTCCCTGCTACCCCAAACAAAATAATGTGGTGTTTGAAGATGAAAATGTTACAGTCTCAGTTTTCTGAAAAAAATAAAGTGTCTGAGGAAAGCAGGCACCGTCCCTGTAAGAATAATAGTACCACCACCACCAATAATAGTATAGTTGAAATGCCTTTTTCATTGGAAGTTTTCACCGAAAACATTTGAGCAATCTTGTGCCTTAGAAAAGCACAGAGTTACAAAATAGCAGGAGGTTAAAATGGAAGGCAACATGGTCTCTGGGGCATTAAGGCTGAGAGGCTGATCTGTTGTAGAAACAAAACCTCTGTTCACCTCCTGTTCCACTGCACCGGCCCCACACACAGGGAAATACATCCAAATATGAATTAATTACCTTTGATTTCTAAGGGCCCATTGATGTGTAATTCTGCTTTATCTTCATTCTTGCTGTTGTTTTCAGACCCTTGAATAACTGCAGTTCTTTTGTAAATGCCTCTCTTCACCTCATCAAAGACTGAAAACATGTTGTAGACACGGGCAGTGTAGCCTGCTAGCTCAGTAACCTGAGAAACAACAAATGCCCCATTTCAGTTATACTTCACAAATTCTATAAATGAAAAGTTTGGCCAAAGAGTCATGAAAAACATTCCCAGCTATTCTGAGTCAGTGTTTCTCAAATGCTATTCTGGAAGGATCAATGATGCATCTTTCAACGCCTATCAATTTTCATTCCTTGAGATTCTGTGCTAACCCATATGCCACTCACAGCTCCTACCAGCCAGCAGACAGAGACAGTTTGAGGGGGACAGATTTCAGCCAATGTAAGCTATGATAGCTCCAGTAAATGAGGAGGTTGCAGAGACTGCTCTTTTCCATGGATCAGTAGAGTCTTCAATCAGCAGAGAATAGCTACTAGAATATCTGAAAACAGAGAGCTTATCATACAAGAGAAAAACAAAATCTCTGCATTTGCCAGCAAAATAAAGGTCCACAGAAGTGAGGAAAACTGGCATCTATAATTATTTATGTTTACTTCCCTGTATTCCTGAAACCTCCTGTAGGAAAGATGTGCTTTTCTGTGTAAAACAGGTAGCACCAGGGCATCCTAATCTAAAAAACAGTACAAAAAAGAAATTATTCTTCTGTCAACTGCATGTTAGAGTATCAGAGCTAAATCTGAGACCTTGGATTAGAACTGGGCATTTTTAAGATGGTGAGGTCTCTTAAAAGACTTTCTCCTTTTTTTGGTCCTTTTGTCACAATTTCCACCTGGTGAAGACAGAAACAACAGATCTTTGGACCTGATAACTTCCTATTTGTGCGCAGTGACACCACCAAGAGCTCCAAAAGAGCTGCCTCCATCTGCTGACAGCAAAGAATTAAACCTGGGGACCTTACTATAAATGTATTATTAGATGGTTTTAAAAGGATGAATTTTTATACTAAATGCAGAGAGCAAGACAAGAATAGTGAGAAAATGAGTTTGAGATTATAAAATCATTAGTTTGTGGTTAAACACATACACCCCATGATTGAGTTCACCTGCTATGGTGTACATAATTCCAAAATAAAATTCTCTATAAATTTCACTATCAGAGACAGATAGACTGTCTCTGGCCACATGGCCATCACTCCACTGCAGGTTAACAAGTACGCAACATCTCGAAAAACTCAGTTTAAAACACTCAATGTTTCAACTCCATCAACTGTACATTGTTTTGCACTATTGGTAATTGCATTAACAGCTGTGAAAGTATCAGGCTAACACCACTTGAGGCAGTAGGTAGTACACAGGAGCTGTAACATCATTCTCCACGCTGGAGTCTTTCCAGCAGTTTCAGTGGGAGCTCATGCCAGGACTGAGTGCTCCACACAGCGTCGGCAGTGGTATTTGATGGAGAGAATCCTGCATGTGATGAACGCAACTTGGACCAACTGTGCCCAGGAAGAAACATAACTAGTAGTAAGTTTCTAAACCACGGCCCTACAAGCTCACTTTGTCAAAACACTAAATACTACCATCTAAACTATTGACCTGCAAAGAAAAGTTGAGCCCACCTCATCTGCATCCTGAATTACACTGACTGGAAGGAGGCTGCTTTGGTGCATTGGGCAAGAATTGGAACTTCACTACCACTTGAAGTGGATTGAAGTACACTGTCCTTTGAAACTGCCTGAATCAAGAAATGGGAATGACAATGTGGTTAAAGTACCACAGTGTCACTTGAAGAGAAATATAATGTAAAATTAAGGTGGAAATTCATAGAACTGGTCTTTGATCTCATGCTGTCTGGATTAAAATCTCACCATGTTATAAACAAAGTGAGTTTGTTCAGTTGTTCCTACTACTTTGTGGGTATTTTTGTTTCCAAAAAATAAAACCACAATGTTTGTAACTCCTCATGTACATTATACAAATTACTTAAATGTTGAAAATAAAATAGAAATTACATCAGTGTATAATAGGTTATCTGGCAGTATCTTTAGAGCAGGGGCCAAGCAAGGGAACAGCTAAAGGAGCATAGGTCAAAATCACAGTCCATTAGAAGAACTCCTTCTGAAAAAAGCACAGGCTCTGGCTTTGTCAGAGTCCATATCATAAGGCACCAAACTACCCCTCCTCCTCCAATTTACAAAGCTGTAGCTATTATGGCTGGATTCCAAGTAATGGAATCCATAATCTTTGATTAGTTGCCTAGCTAATGCGTGCCTCCTCACACTGCACTGGGAAAAGGGGTCCCCACCAAAGGGATGAGCAAAAACCAATTAACAAATGCAGAACCAATATTCAGAAGGAAACGTTGAGGAGGATAACAGCACTGCCCTTTTCTTTTGTTTAACAGCCGGCAACTAGAGGAACTCCCAGGGGAGACCACAGATGAAAGCCCAACTTTATTGGAATTTGGGTGAGGACCTGAAACCTCATCTCCGATCTTCCAGATAAACATCCTGTACTTCTAGACTATTTGCTGTCCCAAGTTGGATTTTTTCCTGCTAAAATTTCTCTACTTTGCAAAATTACTTACAGTTTAACAGGTTCACAAGATACTGAAAACAGCCCTACATTTTAGGTGGCCAGGAAATAAGTATTGAATTCTCTTTGTGTTTCATGCAAAACATGACTGGAATGGGTTGCCCAGAGAGGTAGTAGATGCCCCACCCCGGAAACATTCAAGGTCAGTTTGGATGGGGCTCTGAGCAACCTGATCTAGTTGAAGATGTCCCTGCTCATTGCAGGAGGCAGGGACGGGGACTAGATGACATTTAACGGTCCCTTCCAACCCAAACTATTCGACGATTCTATGACACTTCCAACAGAAGAGTCCCAATACATTGGAGACAGACAGTCTGAATTCAGGCCTGTGCTCCAAACAGAGGAGGAATTTGAACCTTTATCACTCGCATTCCAGGAACATCTATTGCTCTCTGATGGCACCTGAACACAGGCATTAAAAGTGACATTTACATGTTGCACCACACTGGCAGCTGTGCACTTTAGACTCTTTGTGGACTTAACTCTAAAGATCAAATTATCAGTTCAAAGATCTCTACAGATTCAGTTGCATTAGAATTTGCCTTCAAAATTTGCACTTTTTTTTTTTACATTTGATATTAAATAGAAGTTCTGTTTTACTTTTTTTTCTCTTCTCTTTCATGTATGACAGATGTGCAGTACCTCTTTGTATGAAGACATAATCCTTTCAATAGCATCTGCTCCAGAAATCAGCAAGTTTCGTGATGTAGTAAAAGCTTCTGTTCTTTCACTAACCATTGCCTGTTTCTGGCCATCTTCCAATTCTAAAAGTAAAAAAAAGTTTTCTGTTAAAATATTCTTCTGAAAATTATCTCTACCAATTAAATTGTGATTAGAATGTGAGCCATTTTAGAACAGCTTTTAAATTAAAAGAAAGTTAACTCTGCAAAGACAACCTTTCAAAAAGAATTGGTGAATGTAACTAGCATAGATAGCTTGGTAACAAAGAATAAGTGGGAGTATATGGAACTCATCTTCTTATGCAAAACATCCTATTCTTTTATACTATTTGTCTACCTAGATAATTTTCCTTTTATTCAACCTAAATTTTTCAAAATACAAAAAAAGTTTTTCTGAAGTTTCTTTTTTAAGCTAAGCTGCTGCTAGGCATCAGGCTAGGCAGGGTAATAGGTGGATCCAGTGTGGCAACTCCTGTATTAGCAATCATTATTAATGTCCTCTGTGATGTTTGCACAGTGCTGATGGTCAAGAAAATCTGGGGGTAATTCCCTGCAGGTGTAATGCCACTGTTAATTTTATGGGCTGTCAAGCAATGCAAGAGTATAACAAACAATATATTTTACTTAGTAACTGTCTCACCTCCCCAACAAGATCAGATTCTAGAAATCTGGTGTCTAGAAATCTACATGCAGTGCCAAACCCAGATGTATCTTTCTGTATTTATTAGTTAAATCTAAATGTTATTTTGTTTTCATTTACACATCCATAAAGGTATCCCTGCATAATCTCATCTGAGTCACCGAAATACACTATGGATAATTTAGGAAAAACTTTTTTAAAATTCTTACATAATAATTTTGCATATATATATATATATATATATGATCTATATGTTACTCTTTCTGGCCTCAGATATTTTTTATAACAATTTTAATTAATTGAGATACATGTTCAAATTTTTTAGCTTAAAATATACAACATCAGTACACTGTCAACTAGTTGTATGTAATCTAGCCACTTGAGACACAATGACAGGCATACTTTTTTTAAAAGAAAGACAGAAAACCTCTTGCAAAGGGAGAGATTACAAAATTCTTGCTCATGTAGTTCTCACTTATTTTAAAAAGTCATTTCCACTCCAAGAAGAATAAACTTAGGGGATAGGGAGAATCCAGCTAATTCATAATTTGTTTCTTACTTCTCAGAGAACCAATTTTCGCTGGTCTTGTTGGGATTATAGCTCATGCAGCCCATGCTATGTAGAACCACCGCAATTAAATCATTTAGGAATTGGGTATGGTTTAACTCACTAATGCAGCATTCCTCCTGCATTGTAAATGCAGAATTTACTGATAGCTGCTTCCAGCACCCAGGCTAGCTCATCTAGCAAGAGTTTAGAGATGTCTACAAACCGCTGTATCGGTCATTTTAGGGGTATTTGAAAAATTAAAATTATATACAATTTATGAGCATTTCACTGTTCCAAAACATAAGCTCTTATATTACATTCCTAACCCACCAAGGTTACTTTTCTTGAACTTTCTGTCCAAAACATTTTTCATATGGCTGGCCTCTTGTGTTTGAAGAAGTGGTGCATTGTAACAGGGCAGATAGACTGTCTCTGTTTCATACAGAATTTAACATTTCCCTTTTCATCTTCATTTATGTAATTGATAGTCACACTTGTTTTATAAACAAAGATAAGTGTTCACTGTGTCTACAGAAATCAAAGTCTTGCTTCCAAAAATAGTTACTTTCCACAAGCTGATGAGAGACCCAACATTTGGAACACCAATGGTTTAATACAAAAAAGAATGAGAAATGTTATCAAATGGGAATCTTGGCTTTGCCAGTTAATTTCTTCCCTGAAATATGTAATAGAATTAGCAAATTTCAGTCAGAAATATGACCGCCATAGAAGATTCTTTTTTCTTTTTATTGTGGGGTATTTTTTTTTTTGTCCTGAAGAAGTATACAAAATCTATTGCTTTACACCTTTAGTCTGAAGTCTGGTCATGGTACCGGTTTTGTACATATCCCTGATTCTGGTGATTTATCCTAAAGTAATACATCCACTATTTCTTCCTTCAGATATGAACAGACTTGCATCTGACCTGCTGAGGCACAAAGCACTGTTTTCCCAAGCAGGTCAATTGTAAGTTCAGGTCTGCCTGATTCTTTGAATACCTGTTATACTTCAAACTGGTCTCGACAGTGTTGATTTGTATTATGTTTGTGATCCATCAGTATGATATGCCTCATGTCTCCATAATAAGCCCCATGCTTTAACAGTTTAGGTTGCTGGTGGCAAATACTCTTCTGCTTTAGAACATGAGCCACTGCTGTGTCTTTCTTTTCTCCCACATTTGAAAAGTATTTATCAAAAGAATACTCATAAGTAACAGGACTGTTATTTAGTTTAGCATGAAAATGAGTCTTTTTTTAATTCATGCTGTAATACCAAGGAAGTATTTACAATGTGTGGTTAAATGATCTTTTTCTTGACTGTACTCATTCCCATCTTAGCACTTACCACTTTTTCTGTTGTGCTGATAACCTTCACTGTGAGGTGAACTGGCTTTGTACAAACTCTTCTGTTTGGAATAGGACCTCCTGATATTTCTGAAACTGTTACCGGGATGTCAGCCAGGGTCCTGATACAGTGCCCTCCTGAGCCGTGTGATGGGCAGCGGCTCAGACAGCTGAACACCCAGCCATGTACCAACACAACTGCAAGTAAGCTAAACCACGTGCAGGCTGCACAAAATCATCCTACAGGTCAAACCAAGCTCATCCAGCTGGACAGCCATGATTTGGAATGTAACTTCCGAGAGCTGCACAGAAAAGAATTCACTCATTCTTGATTAAATGTACCCAGCTTAGAACTGATCCTTCCACAGACATAGTAGGATCTGTTCTTAAAAATTCCATTCCTATGGAATTTGTAGTATATTCTATGGTTCTAATTGCTTATAAGGAAGCCTGCTGAGGCAAACTTCCCCACTTGTCTTTCACTACCCCTCCTTAATTACCTTTCTTTCTGCTCTTTGGGGTTTTTTTAATAGCATCTGCAATAACAACACTACTTGAGTCTTGTTTCACTTCCTGGAAAGCTGTGATAGGATGTCAAAAATGATACCATCCAAGCCTAGAAAGTGAATTTCACCTTCTCTTCTCCCAGGGAGTCAGGGAAAAACAGTGGTTCCTAACAGATCAACACATAAGAGAATAATTACCTGTAATTACACTATGGTTTATGGAAGGAGGAGATAAGGAAAATTAACAGTATAATTTTTTAAAGTGCAGGAGATGCTGCAAAAATCAGCCTGTCATCCCAACAGTGGCTAGTGAAAAAGGACTGCAATTATCATTATAATCTCACGTGACACAAGGATCCTCTAAGCCCTGAATTCATGCTGTTTATCAGGCTTATGTTCAAAGTTGGATCTTTTGCGTTGCTCTTTCCTCAGCTGACTTGCTATGCTTGAAAGTTACACACAAGACACAGACATTGTAATAAAGTCTGTGAATAATAAATAAATACTAATGGCATTCAGGGGAAGTACAGTCTTTTGAGGATGTAACTTTAAAGAAACATTTAGAAATTAAGTAAAAAATGGTATTACCGCCATCTGCAAATCCCGTTGCGGTGATGATGGGCACAGCGACCATAATCATACCACAGCTACTCCAGACATACTTCATCAGGAACTGCTCTATCATGATGTACCATAAACGTTTGGACAAAATGAGATTCATTTGATCTGCCAAAGCCTTGTAGCTTTTTTGCAGTTGCTTCATTTCTACCTACAGTTTAAAAAAAAAAACATTTATACAATGCAACAAAGATGCACATGTCATACAAGATACATTCACATACGTGCATGAAATAATCGGGTACCCAAGGCTGTGACTTCTGAGTCACATCCGCTGCACAGTACTTTATTTTCACAGTGCTGCAGTCTTACAGCAAAAGTGCACAGCTTTATGGAACTCAGTGGACCTGGTGTACGCTACAGGACGATGTATGCTATCGTCCCTCGATAGCACATTGGCAGCTTTTCAGTTCTTTTAAGTTCTCTGATATATACAAGAACAACATACAAGGCAGTCACAACAGCTGATTCAAACAACCAAAATAAGATTGATTCCACATCCTTTTAATAAAGCTGCAGCTGTAGAGTTTCACAGCAACTGAAACTCCTCGTACTGGAAAGCATTTGGGGATCAATTATCTCCAATGACTTAAAGTTGCAGAGCTGATCCCTGAAATCCAATGCTGCTTGTGTTTGCAAGCAGTCTGGAGGAAGAGAGAACTATCCCAAGAGGTTTAACAAGTCAAAGAGAGTTGCAAGTCAGTATGATATAACGCATTCAGTTCAAGACAGTGTATGTGGGAACTGAAAAAAAATGTTTAATTTAGCTGCACTTAAAACATTACTATAGGCAGCTTTTGAGAATGATTGCTTCTACCAAAATAAACCATTTACATTATATAATCATTGCTTGGACTGAAAGAGTAATACTTCAGGCTCATTTCTAGCTTTCATTTTCACTTCACGTGAACACCTTTTTTTTCCACACCGTGTTTGAAAGGTGTTACAGCCAAAATTCACTTCTAATAAAAATATGAAGAGTTCCTTAATAAGGTGGCTTTAAAACAAGCCATTAGTTTATGTAACTGTGACTGCTGAGGTACTGTACTTAAGCTATTTTAAGACTCTGATGACTACATCTTTGCTTAGCTATGTAAAAAGAGTGTCAAAGGTGTGCTCTGTGCTATCACAGAGTTTTTTCCCCTCGACTTTCTGGTGTGCCCTGGTTGCTGTTTCTGCAGCATTAAATCTGGTAATTCATAAACAGGGGTGAAAAAAAAAAAAAAGCTTGGAAAAGTTAGCAAAATGGACCGGGGGGGGACAGGGGGGACGACGACAGTAACGGAGATTAGCTTTCTAGAAAAGCATAGGAACCAGCTGCAAAACAGGAACACTGTCAGAGCCCAAGGGAACTACAGTCCGCTCCCCCCCAGATACCGCCTGTGAGACGGCATTTTCCCAAGAAACGGGAAGTGCTAGCTGTAAACAGGTTTAAATGTCAGAGGGACCCAAAGTGCTTGGAGGGCAGGAGGGGAAGCACAGGGCGGCTCCGGCACTGCAGGAGCAACCCTAACACCCTCCAATTTCTCTCCTCCTTACCTTGTGCCCTCGGTAAAAGGCGATCTCTTCCACGTTGGCAATGATGCGTGAATGCATGAAGCGCAGATAGCCCTTCTTGTGAGCCTCCTCGGCCACCAGCGTGCCAAACTTGGGCGAGCAGGCTTTGAGCACGCGGGCCGTAGCGTAGACGACGAGCCCGGCCAGGACCGTGGGCCCGATGGGGTTAGCCCCCCGGGACCGCGCCGTGCGGATGAGGGTGTAGGAGGTGAGCACAACATCCAGGATGGGCTTGGTGAGGTTGGAGTAGAGGTGCGCCACGGACTGTGAGAACATCATGATGTCCTCGGTGAGGGACTGGTCGGGGTTGGCCAGCCGCCCGTCCATGCTGATCACCCTGTAGTAAGTCTGGTTGGCAAAGTAGGTCTCATAGGCGTGATCCACCAGGCGCGTGCGGAAGGCGAGGGCCAGCTTGCACTCCAGGTACCGAATGGTGCTGTTCACGAAAGTGGCCGGGATCGCGATCATCAGCCACTTGATTAATTTGCAGACAAAGCTCCTGGGCTTCTTTTCCACGATGCTCTTCACGATCTTCCCGTCGAGGGCGGCCACATAGATGGAGAGGAAGGTCCTGGAAACCAGAGCGACCGAGTGGAGGCAGAGCAAGCCCAGCTCGGCGCTCACCAGCTTCGGGAAGAAGAGCTTGCGAAGTTCCAGCAGCTGCTTGAAGAATTCCGCGTTGGCGGCCGGGGAGGCTCTGCCGCGGCTGCCGGGGCGGCGCGGCGCCTCCCGGCCCCCTTCAGCCCGGCCGGCGTCCTGCGGGCCGCCCTTGCAGCCCGCCCGCTTCCCGTGCCCGCGGATGATGGGGTAGAGGATTCTGAGCCCGTACGCCGCAGCCAGCAGGCACGCAGCCCTCTTCGCGGCGCTCGCCCTGCTCCATTGCACCCGCCGGGCCGCCGCATGCAGCATGTGGGTCATCCTGCCCCGCCGGAGGCGCCGCTTCTTCGCGCCGCTCCTTAGCGACGGCGGCTCATACCCAGCGGGAAGGCCGGCCCCGCCGGGTCTTCATCGGGCCGCCGGGGGCCCCGGC